ATTAAATTTGAAAAACTTTTATTTTTTTGACCAAAAACTAGTTATTTACATAATAAAAATGACTAACTATGTTTTTAAATATATTGAATTTTAATTTTTACTAAACAATAAAGCGTTTGTTTAATTAAAAATATGTAAACTAACAAAGTCATCCTCCAACACTTTTCAGATTGCCGGAAAGATGGGAGAAAGTTGTCGCTGGCGAAGGACAATACTTAAAATAATAGATCTGTAAGCACTTTTTCGCTTATAACGGCGGAAGCAAAGCTGTACACCTAATAGGTTCCAAGATTTCAGATATTTTTTTTTAATAATTAATAAGCCATTTTAATTTTTAATAATTATTATTATTATAAATTACGTTCTTTCTAAATTTTTTAACATTTAATATATAATATTAATTTGATGTGTTTTTATTTTTATTTTTCCAATTGCATAATTTAAACTTTTTACTTTTTTATTAATTAGTTAAAAATTTTATTTTTATTTTTTTAATTAATTTTTTACCTTTTAGTACATTAATTTCATTTTTTTGTAATAACTATAATAATAATCTTTAATTTTTGTATTTTTATGTATAGTTTGTAGTAATCATTTTTTTTATTAAGTAAAATCAATTTTGACCTATTTTATAAAACTTATTTCAAATAAAACATAAATAATTCACTAATCAACAATTAATCCGTATTTTATGTATTTTTTACTAATTAATTTTTATTTTAGAATTTTCTCTTTTTTGCGAGTTAATAAATAATATTAATTTTATTATTTTTTAATAAATAATAATTATATAGAATTTCTTTAATTTCTCCAAAATTAATAAATAATATTAATTTTAAGTGTTCTTTTTTTAGTCCAATAGTTTATTTTTAAATATTTTTTTAATTTATTTAATATTTGTATTAATTACTTTATTATTTCTGTGACTAATAAGTAAATAATAAATTAATTTAATTTAAAATATTTTTTTTAATTTTTTCTAATTATTCTAAGCAATACTAGTTTTAAGTATTTTTAATTTTATTGTTAGTATAAACATTATTTTATATATTATTATGAATTAGGAATTTGAAGTAGTTTTTTTCTGATTAATAAATAAATTGAATTTAAGCAAATTTATTTATTTTTTATTTAATTTTTTTTTTAATATTTTTTAATTTAGTTTTGACTTTTAATAAAAAAAATAAGCAATAATAGTTTAAAGTACTTTTATTTTTTATTTTTATTTATTTTTTAAAAATTTTTTTACAAGTTAATTAATAATTAATAATTTAAGTACTATTATTTATTTTTACAAAATTTTTACTAATTAATAAATAATAAATTAATGAATTTACAATATAATAAAAGACAATATTAACTTTAAGTATTTCAAAATTTTATTATTAATAAATAATGTTGTTTATTTTCCACAAGTTAATTAAATTTGAAGTGTTAAATATTTTTTAGTTTTCATTAAAAAAATATTATTTTGAGGTATTTTTAATTTTTTAGTAATTATTTGAAAGCAAAATAATTTAAATATTAAAATTTTATTTTTAACTATAGAAAAAGTATGTAAGAATTTTTAAATTGGTTTAATAAATAAAAACAAAAGGTTTGAGCAAATAACTGTTTTTTGTCAGTTCTTAAACTCAACAGTTATGAGTTAGAGAGATCAGTGAACGGCGAACAAATACCATTCATAATTTAATATAATAAAGTTTTCTTCTAATCAGAATACGAAGAATAAATAAAATTATTTTCAGTAAAAAAAATTTGTCCTATTTGTATCAATAAAAGGATAATGTCAAGCCCTTTAAGATGAGATGTTAAAGGAATACTCTTCTTTCTTGTGATTCAGTTGGAAAACTTCTTTGCAATTCCTTTTTAAAACCTGCTTCCATCTCATTGCTGTAGTAAGGTTTCTTCTTATAAAAATGAACCAAAAAAAATCATAAAAATCAAATAAAATTCTATTTGGAAATTAAAAAAATTAAGTTTTAATATTTACCTCAAACATGTCTCGCCTTGAGTGTTAAATTAACTCAAAAATATACATAAAATTAAAAACTCCTAAAATAAACTGAAAATTATTAAGCAATCGTTAATGTCACACAATAAAAAAAACAAAAACAAATAAAAGGCAGAAGAAATTAAAAAAAGTAATTTTATATGACAAAAAAAAAATAAACTTAAATAAACAGTAAAAAAACGATAAAATCAACTGAAAAATGGAAACAATAAAATGAAAGTTTTTATTTCATTTGCTGAGGTGCAAGCAAACAATGAACGCGAGACAGGCATAAACGAGCATACATACATAAATATGTACATACACATATATTTCTGTAGATATACATGTATGAATGTGCTTTTAGATATATGCATGTGTATATAAATATACAAAATAACGACATAAAATTTTCTTCTTATGAATTTTTAAAAAATTTTTGCCAAATGCACTTTGGTAATTATTATTTTAAGTGACTCCAAAGCGGCTTAGCACACCTTAATTTCAAAGAAATATTATGCTGAGAAAAATAAATAATTACTGAAAAAACGCTAAGCAATTGGATCGTGATACTTTTTTTTTGGGTTTTAATAAAAAAAAACTGGCAGCGATTTTTTATTATTAGTTTTGCGTTTTTTACTTTAATTACAACAAAATATATACATATATAGAGTTTACAAAAATTGCTCGCATAAATCAGAAAAATGTAGTTTGGTGAAAATTGCAAAAAAAAATTATAAAAACTTAAATTATATACATTGGCGCTTTAGAAACGCTTAAGCGTTTTTCGGAGAAAAAAATTACCCCAATAAATTTTAAATTTTTATTCGCAGCAAATGGCATAAGACACTTTTGTCAAGCTTACTTTTAATTACATACAAGTTATACGTTTATTTATTATTATTTTTTTTTAATACCTCTTAATGCCACAAAACCTATGTCTCCATAAAGAAACTACTAATATATAAAAAAAAAACAAGAAAATTTCCATATATAAAATCAACAACCATAATAAGTTCTGCAAAAAAAAAATGCCACAACAACAAACACTAAAACAAAAAAGCAAAACATTTTACTGTTTGTGAAAGTGATTTTTTTCCTCCTCACAATGTTTTTACCGTCTCTTCACGTCTGTCCGACACCCGCACCAACCAAACCAAGCAGCAAAAGCAGACCGACAACAATTGCTATGATTTTATGCTTTAACTATTTATTGTTGTGTGTTGTTGTAGTGAAGTTTTACTTGCAAACATAGCGCTTACAATGATTTTCTGTTTGCCTACAACAACAACAACAACAACGACACTCAACAGCATATCAGCAATGTTCACAAGTAGCATATTTTTTTATGTATTTATTATTTTTGTTTTTAGTTTTATTTTTTTCTTTTTTCTTTGCTGCTCAAACGTTTGTTAGCTGTGGCTTGTGTTTTTTTCTTTGTGGAGAAAAGTGCTGGTTGTCGGCACTTTGCATTTATGTTGTGGTTGTTGGACACAAATATAAATATATACATACGCACATATTAAAACCACAAACCTTTTATTCCAGCCATGTGACAGCACACTATTTTGGGGTAAAATTGTTAAATCACTTTAAAAAAAATACATACATATATATGTATATAATATAATACTAATGATGCTGCTGCTGTAACTATTGAGTAACTTTTGTTATGTAATTATTAATTTTTCTTTAACTTTATACTGCTTTAATAAATCATTAGGAAAAAGCGAGAAAACCGAAACAAAAAAAAAATAACTTTCTTGATGAACACATTTTTTTTATCATAAAATCTCTAAAAAATATATGAAAATAATTCGAAATCGAATGCCAAAAGACGGTCACGATAGCCAAGTGGTAAGAGTCCTGGTTCGACCAACACCCTAATTGGTATCTGAAGAGCTCGATCGAAAATCACTTCAGTGGTTACAAAGTGCCAAATTACATATGTAAAACAAAATACAATTTTAATAAGGTTCCAAAAGTCAACTTTAGTTCTGAAATTATTCGGTTTTTTTCTTTTTCTTGTCTTATGATTTTCAATACGAATTTTGAGCAGGGTAATTCGCATAAGTCTTCAAAAAAACTCCCAATATCTTTTGAAATGGTTTTATAGACTACACAAACTCGTTCTTCGCATGCCTATTTTTCGAAAATTGCTTTTAAGCTTTTTTTAATGAAATTTTAAGGTTAGTTAAATGGTTGCGGGTTACTTTGTACACTGCTGGTTATATTGTACAAACACAAAACTCTTACATCTAGACAAATGGCATGCTCTTGTTTTTCTGAGAAAAAAGAAACATTATAGTGATCCAGCGAGCATAAGCACTTACTTATACCAAGCTCCTCTGAGTAGTTTTATCGATCCTCCCTACTAATTTTGGCTCAACTACATGAACAAGGTATTGAATCTACCTACGCTGGCTGAAAATCGCTGAAATTGAGTCTACTAACGATATATATATCATTATCACTTATTCGGAATCTACAAATTGCAATCTTTTGTGAAGTCAGTGATGGTAATGCAACTATCCGACCTACTTGATACAGGTAAAAACTTCACAAAATAGTATTAACTTCCTGTTTGTTTAACGATTTCCAGTAAATCGCGTTCAATATGGGCAATGAACTTCACCTCTGTCGCATAACATCAAAGGAATATTCGTGAAATGAATTTTACTTAAAATTCTTGTCGAATTTTCGAGATTCGTGCGATAAATTCAGCAAACATGGCTGAAGTGCTAAATGCTTTCTTACAACAAATTAATACACATGTAGAAGGTCTACCCACATATGCATACATACATAGAAATAGCCTTCATTATATGAAGAAAAATAATAATTCTAAGTCACTCAGTTGCATTCCCACGATTTAATTTCAGGCTGACAAAACAAATTTGCCGAAATATTGCAATTTCAAACGCATAGGTACACACACACACATACAAACAACTAACTACTGGCTCACTTTACAAAGCCAATTTGATATGCTTAAAACTTATCTTACTTTTTTTTATAACTTTTACGGCTTTCTTCCTTTTTGGCTTTTCGTTTTTTTCGCTGTCAATACATATACACTGTGTCGTTGAAAATGTTGGGAGTCAGCAGTAGAGTAATATTGCCGATATTTTGTTGCTACACGAGCCGGCTGTTATTCTTATTGTCGATATTGCACTTATATTTAGCTGCTGCGGTTCTTATACTCTGCACTAACTCTTTTTTTCGTATGTTTTTTGTTATTTTTATGTTATTTTGTGTCTATACTTTCCGTTGCTTTGCCTTACGTTGCTACAAAGTGATTTACAAAAAAGGTGCAAAGTGTCGAAAAAATTTATGCAAATTGAAGTGCTTACACTACACAAAAATAAGAGAGAAAAGATAAGAAAATAAGAAAAAATATATTGAAACAAAGTTAACGTAACAACGAGAGACGTGGAAAAAAAGTAAGTCGAAACACTTTTGCGCGCACAACGGAAAAATACGAAAAAAGGAAAAGGAAATGAGCTGTCAATTGGCTTCTTTTGTCTACACAAGTTCGAGCGAGTGCGTTGTCGACCGTTTTACAGTTTTATATTTTGTTTTTCTTATTTGTTGGAGAGTCTTTTTGTGGCTTTTAAACTAGATTTTTGTTCTTATTATTGTTTTAATATTATTGCATTTGCTTTACGTGTTTGTGCAAAATCTTGGCTTTAAGGGAGCAATCAAAAACAAAAACAAAAAAAAAAATAGCACGTCAGCTCACTCAACCGGCTTTATTCACAAACGTGTGCGAAATTTCAAAAGCTGATTCTTTGTAACCATACCGTCGCCAGGACGGGAAAACCTAACCAACCAAACGAGCGACCAATCAACCGATCGACGGCCACCAAAATCTTGTTAACGTTTGCGTTTAAGGCAAGCTTTTTTTTGTTTTTTTTTTTTGTTTCTTTTTTTATCGTTTTTTTCTGGTAACTTTTGTATTGCAGAATTCGCACTTTAACTTTTTTCTGCATACACCTTATCTTCACTTATTTGTGTTCACACTTTATCTGCCTGGTTGGTGTGTGTGTGTGTGTTTTATTTTTCTACTGGATTTTGCAAGCGCAACAGCTGTAGAGCGACACCATCAACAACGCCTGGCAGGCAATTTTATGTAAGGTGCGCTTCAAAATGGGAGCAGCAGTTTGACTTTTAGCACCAAAAAAAAAAAAAAGCCGAAAATTCGCCAAGATAAACGTGTATGTATGTATGTGTTTCAAATGCACACTGTAAAAGGAAACGTTGTAATGTATATGGGTATGTTTTATTTTCGGCTCATTGTTGTTGTGTGCTTTGTTTTTGCTTAACACATTGTTCCAATTCAAATCGCTTTGTTGTTTGTGCGCTATTAAATTCTCGCGCTAAATATATGTATGTATGTTTTACATACATATGTATGTACCTGTGGCTGTGTAGCACAAAATATCAGTTACAGGTTTATTATTATTTTTATTTTTTATTTATCTCACATGAAGCTGTGTTTTTGCAAAAAAAAGTGCTCAAATTGATTTTTTTATTCGCCGTATGTATGAATAAGCGTTGATTGAGGTTGTTAGTTTTTATTTTGTTGGCGTTGTTAGTGTTAAAAATGGCAATTTGCAATGATTCAACTTGTGCATTTGTTGCAATTGTTTTTATTTTTCAATTTTTTTTCTCTGCTGACACTGCACTCGTCACTTTTTATGGTGTTCCCAATGTGAAAATAATACACTTTATATTTTTATTTGACGTATTTATGTACTTAATATATGTATGTATGTGTGTGTATTTATATTGCATGAGAGAAGATGCGCTTAGCTATATTTTTGTTGTTTTTTTTTTTTAACTTTTGTAAGCTGACTGTTGTTAGTGGCTTTTTGAGTATTTTATTTATTGCTTTTCGTGGTAGTTTTTTTTTTTAATTTCATTATAAATTTCACATTCGTTTTGTTTACTCTTGGAAAGTAGGTTGCTCTGTAGCCTTTTTTACTTTTGCTGTTTTTTTAGATACAAAAACAATTTAAGCAAGCACAGCTGCGCTTCATTTAAAAATTTGATTTTATTTGTTTATTGCTTTGAATGTAAAATTCGGCAAACAGCTTCGTTTCAATATTTTTTTTATATTTTTTATTAATACTTTAAACAATACTTAGTTGGTTTGTGAAAAAAGAACATTTACCGTTAAGTATGCTGCACGTTTTAGTGTACTTCACAAAAAAACATTAACACACAATTTTCGAAATAAATCGTAATTTTTCCAATCTATCAGTTTCAACCGCCAATTAATCTTGTATATAAGAAATCCTTAATTACTTCGAAACCACTTTGCGGTATTGTCAAGTAAATGCATAAATTGTATGTAACTGCATTAAAGTCGTTGTAGCGTATTGGTACACCACTAATTGCTGGCTTTTAAAAATATTTTTCGTTTCTACTCCGTTACAAATGTTTGAATTGTAGCCCTGCTCGTTCGCGACTGACACACGATCACCCGGCTGGCATGGTAGATTCATGCGTGCCAGAAAAACATTGCTCATCAGTTTCACCACAGCAAAGTGCCGAAGTGCCAGAACAAGTTTCTACTTCGTGGTGATCTGCTCGCTATAGTGTTGGAGTCGTCGGCAAGTGAGTTGGTCGTTAATGGCTTGATCTCTAATGTGACTGCACTTTTGTGACTGCAGTGAATGGGAAATGCAACACTGTTGCTGGGTATGGAAATTAGTCTTATTTGACAGAGTTTTGCACAAAGTTTCTTATTGGAAATTTAGGAGGGAAGATCTGGAAAACATCTATAATTTAATACGACATATGAGCCTTGGATGTAGGTACGGAGCTACAATCAATCAGCTTTAACTGAAACATTTTGATACAAAAAAAATTACTTTCTTTCGTTCCAAGACTCCAATATTTGTTCCCGTCCTGAATGGAATTTAAAAATTCTGAACTTTAGTTTACTAAGAAGGCAGTAGTAATATGAAGCAGCTTAAGTAAACTGCATTTCAATGACGAACTACAACCAGAAACGCTGCACGCCGTTGCAATATAAATAGTATACTGTCCCTAAGCGGGGCAAGTGAACCGGTCCAAAAACAATAACAAAATTGTATCCCAATACGAATTTTGTTAAAAAACAAAAAAAAAACAGAAAAGAAACAAGGAGCGCTAACAAAGAAGAGCTTGATGAAGGCGGCACACAGCAAGGCTAAAAGGTCTTTTACGAAGACGCTACAGGAAATTTAAAAATTACTGAAGATATGATTTCCTATCTTTAAACTCGAATCTCTGCTCTTTGTTGGCTTATATGTACATATGTAATTATTATATATAGGAAAATCATAATGCATCTACCTTCCTGTAGCGGCATCGACTCCTAACCAATTGTTTTTCTTTAATTAAAAAAATTTTAATTTTATAATCAAACTTTCCAAGTTTTTATGAAATTTTATAAATATTCTAATTTTTATTCAAAAATGTCTATTGAACATCCGGTTTTCAAATGGGAGTTAACCGTTTCAGAAGTTGCGCACCTTACTTAAAGCTGAATGATGTGAAAACCTCAAAAAAAATGAAGAAAAAAGAAATGACGTGTTTACGAAAAACATGTGCAGAGAACTGTCAGATATGGAAAATTTAATTGCCATTGTTTATGGAAATAATAAGTGAAATAGTTAGTTAAGTTAATTTAACTTAAAATATTGCACTTAACATGTCTGAAGAGTTTCGTGCGGTGACACGTAAAAAATGGATGGCACGCAGAGCTATAAATCCTAGATTGCGCAAGCTGTCTGAACGCAGTATTGAAAAGGATGAAAAAGAAGTGGATGTTGATGCTTTTCTAAAGTAAAAAATAAAAAAACCACGATTTTTTTGCCAAATAATTATCAATTTTCTTCAATCGTTAGACGCTTGGAGCAGTTATGCACACAAATGGTAGGCAGTGATTACTTTCTACAAGCTATGGATACAGTGGAGGAAAGTCTGAATGCGTTGACAGAAAAGGAGCAGTTCACACGCTTACTTTGTTTTGGCATCGGTCCGTTCACACGCAATTTTCAAGCCTTGCATCAACTAGCCTTCATCATATGCACACAACGGCATTATTGCATTAAAGAAGCTATATATTTTGATCCAGTATTTCGCGAAAGTGAAAAGCAAGTTCTACAAGGACTCAGCTGCGCGATAATGACAGAAAATTGTGAAGCTAAATATGCGGTAGATGAACGCACACTATTTTATCTGCCACATTGTCCCAATTGTTTAACTAATAATCTGTTATGGAGCAATTGGCGACCGCATCAGATGAAAAATTTGGTGCTTATCAATAATAGTTTCGAAAGTCTGTCGCTAAGTAAACCTGAGCGTTGGTTAAGATTAGATTCGGGTTATATATTAGATATTCTACCATATGCAAAAGAGTTTCAATTGGAGGATGATTACGAGACACATAATGTTTTTAACGATTTGTCAGTGCATGTATTCCCTTTGACGTCGCTGCCGGCAGAAAAGGATAGTTTTTGGGCGGAAAAAGAAGCACCAACATACAAAGATGTAGAAATGATTTCGGCTGAAGAATTTACCAAACTCAACATAAAATAAGAATCACAAAAGATATTTTGTACAACATAGTAATAAGTAATTTAAGTTGGTGAAGTATATAACATTTAAATATTTTATTGATACACAAGTCTACCAATATATGTACATAAAAAGGAAAATTTAATCAACTAAAATTCACTTAGAAATTGTTCCATTTTCTTATCCTTAGCTTGCTCTTCTCCCTTACGTTTTTGTCGTTGTTTACGTTTTTTAGCTTTCACTTGATTCCTCCGAGTCTTTAGTATGTGCAGATATTCTGCCTTTTTCTTCATTTCCAAAGCCTCCTTAGCCTCAAGGCGTCTTTTCAAATACTCCTCATCGCTAAACAATGTAGGATTTTTCTTTGCCTTTGCTTGGAAACATGGCCTAAAAGCACAAGGCATGATGTTATGGTTTGTATGTACCGCGCTACACAGCACATCACTTATAGGCAAATGTTGTTCTTCGGTCATGAACGCTAAGTCCGATGGTACCACATTCAGCAGGGAATGCACAAAAACAGTATTTAAGGTTATCTCCTTCGATGGGGCTGCCAACAAGAGCTTGTTAGGGTATTTTGGATTGTACCGTAATAAATATTTTCCTGCTGGCATTTTCACCAGCAATTGCAGTGTTTCTGCTAGACCTGCTAACAGTTTGGGCATATCGATATGGTACGTCTCAGCAAGCTGCTTTTCGATTAAGGATAGCACCAATTTATGTTCTAATTGCACACTGAAATCATTAACTGCAAGACGAAGGCATAAAACATGATTAGAGAAACCCTTACATTGACCCAAGAGCTTTAACCGGAACCATTCTCTTATTAGCTCATACTTTGTCATTACTTCTGCTCCAAACTTTGGTTTATATTCCAATTTAAAAGCGAGGCTACTCAAAAATTCTGTACCAAATTCATCCATTGCTGGTGCCAATTTCATTCGTGTAAAGAATTGCTGTTGATGTGAATCACTTTCATCCATCTTACCACTTAGGTTCCACTGTACAACGGCAAAATTTGTTTTAATATTACCTTCCACCTTCGTAGCGTGTTTTTTCAAATACTCATTAAATTCGTAGACTGTATAACCTGTCTCCGTGGAATTAACTCCTGAAATTTCAGGCGCCTCATCAGACTTTTGCAAATTTATACTATCATTTTCCATATAGAGCCATCTTGTATATTTGCTAGTACTCAATAGTGCCTCAAAAGCATTTTCAATTATTTGCTTATGCGTGAACCATCCGCAAGCGCGAGGCGGTAAGGGTTCATCAAATGTAACAGCTTTAAAATTATCTCCACTGCTTTCCGAAATTTCTAATGGCACTTCGCTTGGCGAGTCTGCGAAATTGTCTGCCGTCAGTAAGAATATTAGTGATTCTATAGGTATATAAAACACATCCGCTTGCCTGTTGGACGACATATTGAGCTCCCACTTAAAATTCTCCTGTTTGTTCATGCTGTCAATAAAGTTGTCGATGTGGTTCTCCAACCGCAGGTTCAAATGCTGGAAGTCATTAACATAGTTCCTAAGTATCGGTACCCAACCTTGACGTCTAATCAAACGCACATTTTCTATGTACACACCACTCTGGCTACCAGTTAAAGATTGGGGTTGTGGCAGTCCTACATGTGTGTTAAACGGCAAGTTCTCTGGATACTCAGCGAGCAATTTGTTCACCTTAGCTGAATAAAAACGTTTATAAAGCATTACCAAACGCTCACAGGGTGCGTAAATAGCTCGTTTTTGTGTGCGTGAGTATTCCATAACAAATTGATCAAATGCAATTTTTTCTTTCTTTCTCACTTGCTCTATTCTTCGCCAATGCAGGACGTCCGCTTCGTTCACTTCTCGAAACTCTTGCCATGCTTTCAATAGCCTCAGACATACCAGATGATCCGTTTTGCTTAAATTTGATGGTGTTGAGCTACGAAAAAGCTCTTTTCTTTGTTGTCCATCGAATGTGTGGTCATATAGAATTTGTTCGACCTCCTTTTTAGTACGTGGATCTAGTAATATTTCATACTCAAAATCTTCATCTATTTGTTCACGTTTCATGAAAACAGGATGTACTTCATTTAGATGCAAAAACAGAGCATCACAGGTATCGTCAAAAGATTTATTAAAGTGTGTGTATGACGGTTGATTATAGAAGAAAGTGCCGAGACGAGGTTTACCTAAACTTGTTTTATGAGTGTTGGTGAGTTGAGTGTCCTTTCCTGGTTCGTGCTCAGAAACAGATTCGGCTGGAATTGGAACTAGATGATGCTCCTTATCACCATTCATGGTGTCAGTCTGTTAGGAAAGTTAATTAAACAATTTATTTTTATAAATAAATATTGCACCCAACCTTACAAGCAAATTTGTTTACGAATGAACTTAACACGCGAAAATGCTTACAAAAACACTACAATCAACCAGCTGACCGCTTTAAAAGCGAACAAAGCGACTGAAAAACGAAATGTCGGAGAATATAGAAATGTCAAAAACAGCTGCATGCAGCGGTTTTGTTAATTCCATTATCGTGATTTGTGTTTTTGGATTAGTGCATATTTCTCAAGCTATATAGTTATTTACAATTAAAACATGTCTGATGGTAAGTAACAAAGTTAATTAAATGTTACTATTTGATACAGTATTTTTTCTTACTTTTAGAGGAAATTATAAAACGTCGCTTGCTTATTGATGGAGATGGCACCGGCGATGACCGGCGTCTCAACATGCTACTTAAGCAATTCCTAAAGTGGACTTTTTCCAAAAATGATTCCCCTGAAAATAAGTGAGAAATGCTAACGAGATAAATTATTTATTTTACATATATTTCCATTTTTAGCCAAATAATCTATGATCGCTTGCTAGCACAGATGGCTCAATGTGAATTTGCGGCCGCCAAAACAGATTACACATCGAAGATGATACAAGAGGAATTGAAAAATTACGCCAAACTTTCCGATTCCATTGAAAAGAGTATTGAGTTGGCCAGGAATGAAATTGAAGAAAGTAAGCGTGAACTGGTACTAGCCAAACAAATACGTAAAAACAAAATGGAGTACGATATGCTAGCAAAAGTAATTAAGGAACAACCTGACCGTAAAGATACAACTAAACAAATCGATGGACTCAAAAAAGATCTATCTGAATTAATGGAAAAGAAAATTAAATTGGAGCGTAAATTTCAAAAACGCCGAAATGATTTTACATTACTTATGTACTCCATACGCGAGTTACAGGCGCAACTGGAAGAGGATAGTAGTAGTGAGAGCAGCGACGACGACGATTTAAATGGTTTGGATACCATGGATTTAAGTGAGGATGAAGGTCTACCTATGCACGCAGAAAAAAATAGTATAGAGTTGATAGCTGGAAAGACGCCTAAGAAAGAATCAACAACGGATGAAAATGGTTCAAAGGGAAATATGTCGGTAGATGAGGACGCAATACTGGAGTTGAGTATTGATAAAGATGAAAATGATGTAAAGATGGAAGAAACTGTGACTATTCCCTAGCAAATAGATTGCCTGATCATAGATTCAGATTAATTAATCATTTATATACATATTACAAAATTCATAATTTTCAACTAAAATTGCAAACATTTTTTTTTTTAATAAAAAAATTAATTACGATAATTTACAAATTTTTATAATTTATGACAAATCATAATTTTGAAAAAATTTTAATTTTACGATATATAAGTAGCGTGTTATTAAACAAACGCAACGAGTAGTAAATAAAGCAACGAGTGGCATATGTCAAAATAACAGCTGATAGCCGGCTGTAAAATTCGTTAATCTTGCTGCTGTTTTGTAATACAGGTAAAATTGAATTGTTTTTATTGACAAAGTTAAAATTCTAATTATTTTCTTATTTTACAATAATAAAGCATGACTGCTACAAAAACTTTACGTGCATTACTGCAGGAGCTGCGTTACGCTTCGCCAAATGGCTGCATCAAAAATTCTCTAGCTGCACGTTATCTGCTGGCACAATACAAGAAATATTCAACCACAGATTTACAATTGTGTAAAGCGCGAGATGAAGCTTTATTCTTGGGTCAAACTTATCTAACGTACTTGGGCAGTTTGCGAAAATATAATGAGTTGCATAAAGAATATCATGGACGTGGCGAGCGTAGTGTCAAAGAGACGGCTGATTTGGTGGGCTTCAAATTGCCTACAGACCCCAAATAAATTTACATAAGTAGTGTAAATTAACACGAGCAACGTAGAAAACTAGTAGATGGACGAGTATAATGCATATAAATTCTTTATTTATATATGTATGTACTGTAATTGTTACAGTTTTTGATGAATTCAATAACACCAAAGCATACATTTCCTATACGTTGGAGTTTTAACTGATTTTAAAGGATTGAACTCAGATTGAATACTTAAGCTACCGCTTAATACTATTGTAACCTATTTTTGGAGCAAAAAGAAAAATGATAAAACTGTTAATTTTTAAACTCTGTAAACAGATAAGAATATGCTCAATCTAAAATATTATGCTCATTCTTAAAGCGCCATTATACTTTCTTAGACAAATAAAACAGTTTGGTTTTCTCATAATTTAGAATAAAATTAGCTGAACTCCAATACTGCACATATGTAGATAGAAAACATAAAAAAAAAATACTTTGCACATTTCTATGCTATAAAATTTAAAATTTATAGCTCATAAAAAAATATAAAAACGTAAGTTCATTAAATACAAAAAGATGCAGCGCACACGCGCTGAAGTGCATGTAACCACAAAGAAGATTTTCAAACTGCTCGAAGCGCCCACTTTCAGTGCGGTTGGTGTGCGCGGTGCCAGAGGCTTCTTTCTACTCGTTTACATGTACATATGTAGGTATGTTTGTAAGGAAGTTTGCAATGCATTCATACATATACATATAAATATATATATATATATATATATGTACATATGTACATAGTCATGCATTTTTCGCTATTGACACAAAAGAAATTCTTGTGCACTTGTTGTTGCAGACAAGCAATGGGAGTGCAATTGCCATAACCGTGGAAATATTTTGTAGGCGGCCGATTGACTTGCATACGAATGATGTATGTGCGTACATGTGCTATTCATGTATATAAGTGAAGTATTTATGAACTTGCATACAAACACATATACTGATTTTATTGTTTTTATTGTAAGCAGCAGTTGAATACATGTATGTATGTATGTAGATATGTGGGTGCCCTGCGGTTGGGCGGTCGTGAGAGGCGAAAAGCCACAAGTGGTTCTGTGTGCATGCAAATATTCAAATAAAACCGCGTCAAACATAACATAAGAATGCGTAAGTGATTGCTGTACTTACATAGATATGCATATGTGCCAATGTAAATATGAGCATAAAAGAGGATTAGATATTTTTTCCTTTAAGAATGCTTAGCAACTTAAGCATAATTTGATTAAAAAACGCCAAAAAAAATTAAAATATTACATGATAGTATATTTCTCTACTTTGTATATATGTATGTATATTCATACATACTCGTATGTAAATGTCTGCCACATCGTGAGTAGTTCACTCATATTATTGTATATTATTTTCCTGAACATAAATTAGTTTATTACGCGGTTTGCATTATAAAATACTCAATTGTGCGCCATTCATTGGGCTCATAGGGACGACATCTCACGCCATACATACATAAATACATACATACACTCGCATTCTCATACACCCAGTTGATCTTATTGCCTACGCCTCTGTCATTCATTTATTGATATTACTTTGAGCTGCAAGATCTTGATGTTAAGTAAAGTTAACTACTGTACAACAACAACAACAACAAAAGAGTAATAATAAAGAATTTGTTGTCTATAGTATTCAAAAATGTGTTTGCTTAACAACAATAGCATAACATTCATACATACATACATACGAGTACATGCAATTATATGCGCAGGCTAAGGCTGTACAACAATAAATAGGTTCAACGCGCTTTTGAACTTTTCATCAATTTCTATAATTTATTCATTATTCTCAATTCGACGAAATGGTTGGTGGTTAAGTGAATGAGTGAAATACATATTTCTCAATACAGAGGAAAAAGTGTCTTATTATTGCTGCTGCATCAGCCAATTACAAGCTAAGATTTTAGAAGACTCGCTATCACTTACTTTTTTATTTTGTTGTTGTTGTTGTTGTCGCAGAGGCAAGTCCAACCCCGCTTAGAAGCTGACATGCTCAGTCTAAGTCATCGAGGAGGTTTGGGAAAGGAGCAGATTCGACGGGTTCGGATAAGAGGGAGAGCGTGTTGTTGTTGTAACCGCAAATATATTCCCCAAAATAATTTGTTGAACCCCTAATACGCTGGAGCTTGCAACATGGTAGTACGAGTCGTGGTAGGACTCGTTGCATGCCGTACATACTTACATATATACGTTGGGTTCAAATCTGGTTAGGTAAGAATTTAGTCGACTACAATATCTACATAGATCTGAATTGAGTCAATATTAAGCGGGACAGTCAAGGCAGCTCGAACTCTTCGTCTGAAATAGTTAGTGGTTTGACTCCGAGAAGGTCGTTCACTGCAAGAGAGTTCAAGAAGGTGTTAACGGACTCTCGGTGAATGGCGTTTAATGTCTGTCGATATGCCCTCCTGTCCAGCGGCCTTCAATATGGTGCTGAATGCGGTTCTTATAGTCGATACTCCATACGGTAGTAACCCAGCAGAAATAATTTCATCAGGTGGTGTTATTAAATCGGTTGTTCTAAGCCCACTTAGGGACAGGCTGGTTAGTCTAGCTCACCAAGATCATCTACGGGAAGGTTCTGGAGGGAGGGAGATGGGGGTTAGATGTATCGGTTGGGGCATGTAAAAAGCTGGTTAGTATCGTGCGGGGACTCGTTACTTGCTGGACATACGTTTGGCATGTTGGGGTCGAGTCTGGATAGTTAGGAGTTTAACCTGTTACAATATCCATACCTAAGTTGTGCCAGTATTACGCGGATCTCTCGAGACAGTTCTAGCTCTTCTTCTCCGACGACGCCATTCTTAGTGCCTGTTTATACGCCGTAGAGCCAGCGGTTGTTGCAAATGTTTTGTGATTGTGTCCTTAAAATCTAGTACTCTCCTTTTTATGTGCCTGGGTGGAGGCTTAACCTCTTTTAGATGTCTGTTGAGGTGCTCCTTGCTATAGAATTTCAACAGGAATTTATCGCACAAAAAACTAATGTGTTTTGGCTGGCCTGCAGCTTCGTCAAGTGCGTCTCGCTTGTCCCCGGTGCTCAGATCTGTGCAACGAAGCTAACTCCCGGTCCCCTGGTGTCTGTGGAGTTTTAACAAACGAAAACCAAACTCTACATTCGATGAGTCGGTGCCTGGAGTTATCCAAAAAAAGGTTTTGCGATGGATTTATGTTCCTCTGCGAGTTGGGAACGGTGAATAGAGCAGCCGATGCAACGGAGAGCTATGCGGGATATACGATGACATTGGCATAGTTCAGCGAATCAAGAGGTAGCGGCTATGCTAGTGACTTGAATTGATAAGAATACTCCGACTTTAAAAGTTGCAGCAGTCGCTGATGGATGCAGAGGAACAGGAGGACCCGGTAGAGAAGAGTAGATGGCTAAATTTGCCAGAAGGAATGGATGGCGCGCTGTTGGTAACTCGGCTTTAATTACCGAGTAATAATAAAAAATAAAAAATAAACATTTATACAGAAGAAATTGTAAACAAATATTTTTCAGATACAATTAAAGTACTAGACGTCAACAAAACTAACTTTCTTTCCTTCTTCATGTTATCCACTGATTCTGCGACGTGTTCAATTACATTCAATTGAAGTTAATTACACGACAAAAGAGAGAATTTTCTTTGAAAATTTAAATACCAAACAACTATTGTTACTTATTGTTGTTGCATTGCGAATTTCTTTGGCTCATGACCGTTAAATAAGACGTCAACCGTAGCGCACGAAGGATTGCAAAGAAAGTGAAAGCATTGAAGTGTAAATGATTGACCTTGGAGAATATCAATTCAATGGAATTTCAGTGAACGAACTCTTATACTCAAACGAAAGGGGGTAAGCAGGAAGATGTGTGCGGAGGAGCTGCGCTTGTAAAGGAGTTTTGCGGCTGCACAAACACACGAAGCTTTCTCCTGCTTTATCTGAAAATTTTGATTTTGCCTCTATTTTAGGTAATGATTTACCTAGGTGGATCTCGATTAAACATGCTCTATTGGGACTCTCTGCATAATTCTCAAAAGAATGACGAAGCTTTGTAAGCGCTGGAGCAATTTTCGGCCGAGCTCCTCTTACAATTTGTGGTTTTTGTGTCTTGATGTTTTTCCAACAAATGAAGGGACCTACAGTTAATTCTAAGCCTCCTCCGAACGGCCGATGGTTTTTAATGAGAAACTTTTCATGTCAGAAATACACTCGGGGGGCCTGGCATTCCCTACCGAGGGGCGACCGCAAATCATTTACAAATCGTTCAACGTAATCATGAAAATTTACGTTTAAAAAATTTACGCTTCGCTCAACAAATAGTCGACATAATCGGCCAAGCGACCTCGTTTCACTCTATGGGCTCTTAAAAAGTTCCAAGAAAATCCGGCGTTTTCGTGCCAAAATTTCTGGTTCAATGCGTATGTAAACAAGCAAAATTGCCGCATTTGGGACGAAGAGCAACCTGAAGAGATTCAAGAGCTGCCATTCCATCCAAAAATTCAATGGTTTGATGGGGTTTATGGGCCTGTGGTATCATCTGTCCATATTTATTCAAAACTGATGCCGATAAGAACGTAACCCTCAATGACAACAGTTATGGCGCCAGGATAACCGACTTTATGATGTCTGAAATTGAAGCTCGTGATCTCAACGACATTTGGTTTCAACAAGACGGCTTCATTGCCCATCCATCGCATCAATCAATGGAGAGTACAATTCGGTGAGCAGACAATCTCACGTTTTGGTCCGGTCGATTGGCCACCAAGATCGTGTGATATCACACCGTTAGACACTTGTCTGTGGAGATCTGTAAAGTCTGAAGTCTATGCGAACAATCCCGCTTCGATTCAGGCCGTGGAGCCAAATTTCATGCGTGTCATTCGCCTGCTACCAGACAAAATACTGGAACGAGTTATTAAATTGAACTCAACGGTTGGTCCATCCGAGACGTAGCTGCGGCCACATTTGAAGGAGATAATCTTTAGAAAATAAATGCCAAAGAATATTCTTTCGAATGATAAAAAAAACATTCCCCACTAAATTTGAATATTCTGTGTCTTTTTTTTTCTTTACAAAAGTAGTAAACTTTGAAATGGATCACCCTTTATGTATAAATATCAGCAGAGTGTCTAATGTTCGGTCCCTGGTCTTAATAGCTTGTTTCCAATTTTTTTTTTTTTAATTTGCTATAAAAAAATCTTCTTTTATTTATCTTTTTGATTTATTGACGAGAAAATCTTATTTTTATTATCCATTTTAATAGTTTTATAAACTTGCCTATTTTGTTGATGTTTTCGATTTTACTGTCTAAACTATACTATGTATGTATTGTATGTATGTTTATGAAACAAATTGCTAATTTAGATTTGTACGCAGCCCAGTTGTTAGTGTTGACGAGCAACGCAATTTGCTGGGCGGCGGCCATTTGGCTGCATAATCAGCACAAAAATAATTCTATCTATTATTTACAAATTTACACTGCTTTACTAGGCATCGAGGTATATGTATATGTGTATAGGTGTGTGTGTGTGTGTATCTAAAGGCATGTGTTTTTGAAAATATCTCTTGCATTTCGTCGTTGCTATTTTCGTAAATATTTTATCTGCGCCTATTCGTTTGTTATTGTTATTGTTGCTTTTCACAGCTCAGTGTACATCGGAATATATGTATGTACATATCTATGTATGTAAATTTTTGCAGCATTTTTCACCGATCGACTTACTTGAGCCTTCGTGCGAGGGTTGCCTTTAATATATCGGGATTTAGCAATTCTAGTGTTGTTGGAGACCCAAAGAGGTGACCTAATCACAGAAGCGCAGTGTATGCTGAATTCATGGAGAGCATACTTGCCCTGCCTTATGAATGGCTGAACGGCAGTGAATGTGCAACCCCAAGTGATGCTGGAGCCAATTGGTCATTCGGCGACGATGGAACAAATGTTTCATTTCAACAAAGCGGCGGAGGCCCATGGATTACCGGCGGCGAAGGGCTGATGAGATGCCTGCATCAGCTTCTTTGTAAAATATTGGAACCTAAGTGTGCTCTGCCAAGTCCACAAAAGGGCAACGAGTTTCTTGTGTGTCTTCTGTGAAAGGCTAAAACCCGCCATCAACAAACTGATTGGACCTTATCAGTGCGGCTTTAGAACTGGTCAGTGAACCATTGACTAGATGTTCACCATGCTCCAAATCTGGGAAAAGACCCGTGAAAAAAGAATCGACACGCGCCACCTCTTCGCCGGTTTTAAAGCCGCCTTCGACAGCACGAATAGGAGCTTCCTTTAGGCCGCTATATCTGAATTTGGTATCCCCGCAAAACTTATACGGCTGTGTAAACTGACCTTACACAACAGTGAAAGGTCCATCATGATCGGAAGGACCTCTCCGAGCCCTTCGATATTAAATGAGATTTCAGACACTTTTTCTCTTTGTCGTGTGATTTTTTCAATTTGATCCTGGAGAGAATAATATGATCTGCAGAACTGGGTAGAGAAGGTACAATCCTCTATAGGAGTGCACAGCTGCTGGTCTACGCTGATGATACTGACATTATTGGCATCAACAACCGCCGTTAGTTCTGCTTTCTCCAGACTGGATATGGAAGCGAAGAGTGTGGGTCTGGTAGTGAACGAGGACAACACGTAATAACTCCTGTTATCAAACAAACAGTCGTGGCTATCGCGATTTGGCTCCCGCGTCACTGTTGGCAGTCATAACTTTGAGGTCGTATATAATTTCGTCTATCTAGAAACCAGTATCAGCACCAACCACAATGTTAGCCTATAAATCCAACGCAGAATCACTCTTGCCAGCAAGTGCTACTTTAGACTGAGTAGGTAATTGAAAAGGAAAGTCCTCTTTCGACGAACGAAAACAAAAAACAATACTCTGCAAGTCCCTCATCGCTCCCGTCCTGCCATATGTATGTGGAGACATGGACGATGATAACATCTGCCGAATCGGCGTTAGAAGTCTTCGAGGGAGAGGTCTTGCGTAAGATTTTTTGTTCTCTGAGCATTGGCTACGCCGACTACCGTAGACGATATAACGATGTACTGTACGATTTATACGGTGACATTGATTTAGTTCAGCGAAACAAGAAGCCGCGGCTACGCTGGCTAGGTCATGTGGTCCGAATGGATGCGAATACTCCAGCTTTGAAAGTTTTCGGTGCAGTAACCGCCGGTGGAAGTAAAGGAAGAGAATGACATCCAGTCCGTTGCAAGAATCAGGAGGAGAGCAACGTTTTTAACTCGGCTATAATCACGAAATTGGTGTCTACGTCAGTGAAGAAGAAGCAGAATATATGATTTTGTTCTCTTAGGTCGAATTGTGAATGGCGACCCTCGTATGTAAGTTTTTCATCTGTTCTGTGTTATTGCGCCAAATCGGCCACGTTTTAGTCTAATTATTTTACGCATTTTATTGTCAAACTGTTGTTGTTTTTGTTTTTGTTTTGCTATTACTATTGTCTTCTTGTCTTCGGTTATGTGTGCTAGATGTGCTGCGACACTTGCGAAATGGAAAGTATTTTTTCACACATTAGCTCAGTCGGCAAACAATGGGTGTGTTTTCGCCGGTGCGCCTAATCTTTGTGGAAACCCGTTGACACTGCAGCATGTGGTATTTTTAATGTCTTTTTTAAGTTTCTTAGCCTATATACAATTCACAGTCGCATGCTTTTGTTTATTTAATTTTTAATTTTAATTTTTCTATATTTTTTTTCAGATTTTTTTTTTGTTTTTGCTTTTAGTTCGAATGATTTACTAATAGCCAAAAAATTTTATTGCGCCGATATGCTTTCCGCTGTTTGAAAAATTCTAATGTATTTTTTTTTGTTGTTGTTGTGCGGTATTTTAAACTAAAAATATGTGTTTAGTAGAAATGATGTCATATTCTATGGGAAAAAGCTAATCTGGTGGGCTAATTAAGATGTCAGGCTATGACAGAATTTTTCGAAATAAATTCAAAAGAGTTCACAGTGAATTTTCATATTTTTTTAAATTTACACTTGTGTATGTATGTATGTACGTAATTAGAAATCATTCAAAAACTTTTTCAAATTCAAATTGTATTCTTCTTGTAAATTCATAAAAAAACACTCGCGGAAGCGTCTGATTCTCGAAATATTAGAAAGAAAATCTGCGCAACCATTGGCTTTTGCTTTAAACTCACATTAATAAAAACAGCAAAAAAAAAAAAAAAACATTTCAACTAAATTTTCAATTCCAATTTCATTTTAATTTATTAAGTCATTGATTTACAAATCATATAGAAAACACAGCCTTGGCCAAAGTATTAGGCACCCCACTAAAATACAAGTAATCTCTTCTTCTGCCCTCGCAGCTGCTCCTTCGAATGAATTTAGTACACCGGTTAGTGCTCGAACAGCTAGAGGAAGACTTCTGGAAGCAGGTGCAAAAAGATGTAAAACCCGAAAGAAGCCGTGGCTCTCAGAAAAGAATAGGAAAAATCATTTGCAATGGGCGCTCCGATAACAACATTTCACGGATGAAGATCGGTCGAATGTTCTATGGTCTGATGAATCAAACTTTGAGGTAAGCTTAGTTAAGATCGTCTTAAAGTACTAACAGCCATTGCTTCTTACACTAGAGCAATTTTGAAGACAGCACAAATCTTATGAAAACTTTATTTTTTCTTTTCTACAGATATTTGACGTTCGTGAGGCGACGGGTTGGGAAAGAATATCAGCCAGATTGCGTGGTAGCCGCTGTTAAGCACGGAGGAGGCAGCATTATGATCTGGGACTGCATGGCTGCTGATGGTGTCGGCGAAATGTACTATTCATTTCCGAGGGTCGCATGGACAGTCAAAAGTAACGCGCATTTTCGGCGATACTAATTTAGACGGGGTTCAATTTCAGTAAGAAAATGCTCCTTGTCAACAATCAGCGACTACGATGCGTTGGATTAGAGACAACAACATTATTTTGTTAGGTTGGCCTGCACAGTCTCCAGATCGCAAGATTAAGGAATACAGTATAACATCAAAAACTGCCTTAAAGAATGTCTTAATTAACGAGTGGTACGATATAAGTGCGGACGAATGTACAAGGCTTGTACGCAGCATGCCTAAGAGAATTGCGACCCTTATTAAATCAAAGGATGGACCTACTAAATATGAATGTTATTATCATTAATTCATTGCATTTTCACTGTTTTACTAATAAAACTCCATTTCTTCACTTGTTAAAACCAAAAAATTCAGTAATTAATGGGATGCCTAAAGTCCAAGGCACATCGTTATTCCACGCTCATAGAACTTCTGGCCGCTTTCTGCTAGAAACTGAACCAAAAACTATAAAATCGCCTAGTCATTTTTGAAGGTCAGTGCTATATGTTGGATGCATCAACGGTCCCCAGCCAAGCTCTCTCAGCTTTTGGCGAATAACCAAAGATGTGTGGGGTCTAGCATTCTTCTGGTGGAATATGACACCTTAACGATTGACGAATTTTGGCTGTTTCCCATTAATGGATGTATACAATTTGTCCAGTTATTCATTGTCGACATCCGAATTCATCGTTTGTTTCCTTGAAAGCAGCTCAAAATACGCCACACACCTCCAATGCCATCAAATGAATATCTGCCTTTGAAGTGGTTTGTGGCGCTTCATCACGCCTTCTTAACTTATATTTTCGAGAACGCGAATTGGATAACCCTGCAGTTACTATGAGTTCCGAGCACATGACAAAAAAATACTTATTTGAACCTACCTCCCATATAATAGGATGTTCGTACTTTCGTGAAAGTCCGTTAAGCCACCTCCGACCGACCAAAGAGTTTTTTTACGAAAAACCCTTTTATTTCATGTCCGAAATAGACGCGGAGGGCTTAATTTTCACTGCCGAGGGGCGATTAAAAAACAATTATTTTCTATAATTTTGTGTGCCGGCCGGACCAGAACTTGAACCACGGTACTCCGAATGATGGTACGAGGTGTGACAATTAAGTAATGAGACTGATTCCATAAAAACGATATATTTATATATAAATTGTTCTACAACTCTACCATACCCTTCACAGTAGTCCCTTTAGGCAGACATACAATGGTTCCAGAGCGTTTTTAATGATTCGTAACATTTTTGGAACGCTTCGACTGGGTTGTCCGCGACTACCCTCGTTAAGGCCGCCTGGATGATCTCAATCGACTCAAAAGGGGTTCCTTCGACCACCGATTTTGTTCTAGGGAACAAAAAAAGTCACAGGGAACAGGCGAATAAGGCGGTTGTTGCAACACGGAGCTCTCTCTAGAGGCCAAATACTGAGACACGCTAAGGGCGGTATGGCACGGCGCGTTGTCGTGATGAAGGATCCAGTTATGAGCAATGTCTGCGTGCACCCTGTTGACTCGTTCTCGCAATTTTGATTTGATTTATGGTTTGCCCCGGTGGAAGAAATTCTTTATTGACGATTCCACGGCTATCAAAAAAGGCAATAATCATCGTGCGAGTTTTTTTCGGGCGAGGGGCGTTCGGAGACCACCGTTGTGAGCTTTGGCGTTTTTGGTTTCCGGGTCGTATTGAAAAAACCTGCTCTCATTGCCTGTAATAACTCGATCAAGCAGCGTGGGATCATTTTGTACTTGTTCCAAACTTCTGCTAGAGCGATGGAAAATATATCAATGGAAAGGAGAAATATGCCGGGATAAGAGATAAGGAATTTCAGGGTCACAGGGTTACCACAATCGCGGCAATACCTTTATTGTCACACCTCGTGTGTACTGCTAACCATTCAGCTTTTGCAGTCGTCTTGGAAAGAGCTGAGTTTTACAGATTTCTCATAGAGGTAAAAAAAATTTGATCAACGCTCAAGAATAACTGGGGACGTCAAAGTGGTGTGGGAATAACAAACTAAGCGACACGAGAATTTCTTCTTTGTCTACGCTCTCTTATAGTGAGAGACAGGACCTTCAGATGCAGTATCTACTTTGTAAGGTCGTGCAATAAGCCATTTAAATAGGAAAAGAGAGACAAAATGGATATAGCAAAGATAATTTACGGCCTGCGAAACTATCATCGAAACGAAACTTAAAGTGCAACTGGACCTTGAACACTGTTTTAATCACCATTTATGTATGTATGTATATGCTTTCAGTTTTGTCCTCTACACACATCCTTACGTCGTTTATCCTGTGTGAGAAGTGCACGTGCTTTGACCCAACCAACCACTTAATGGCTTGTTAATGGTGCGTGTCAGGATTTATGCACTCAAATGACCGCCAGACAACTCAGCTCAGGCATAATGGCAATTACCAACAACCAAACAACAACAAAGTAAAAATATAAACAAAGAAAGAAGCCAAAAGCCGATGAAATGCCGACTTTTTCCAACCAACCGAACAACTGTGTAAATATGTATTGTATGTAGTAAGTGCACAACAAGAAGCAACAAATGATCCTTTTTGCAACAACAACAAGAATAACAACAGCAAAAACTTCTGATTTTGCTGCATGTGTGTGCTAATGGACGTTAGTAAGTCGTCGTCGCCGTCGCCGTTTCGCAGTCAATTGATTGACTAACCGAGGACAAGTCATAAATGCAGTCGCCAGTCGACCAGTCGTCTGAGGTGCGAGGGGAGAGCGAGCTCTCATTGCAAAAATTTTTCAATTTCATTTATGCTTTTCATGTGGAGAGCATAACCACGTGCGGCTGGCGAGTGGCAGAAGTCTCAAAAACATCAGCCAGTTCAGCCTCAGTGCAGTTCAATGCAACTCAATTCAGTTCCATTTGGTCAGATTGACTTTGGTTTCCACTTTCCACAATACATTCATTCTCTGCTTACCGAATATATCCACATTCACACACACACACACGCAGATATATGTGTACCCAAATATTGACAGGCAATAGGCCAGTGAGTTTCTTCTAACGCCCGGCGAGCCCGATTGAATGTTTGCTCATTTTCTCTGTATCTCCGTTGTCGTTGTCGTTGGTACATTTGTCATCGTCAGGCAGTCAGGGTGGGAGGTAAACCATAATAAATGCCAACAAAATGCTCGCACACACACACACACACACACACACACACACACACACACACACACACATACATACATACCACATCACCATCGCCGCCAGCAGCCGCACATTTTCGTAAACAAAGCAGCCACCAGCAAGTCGGTTTGCAAGTCGAATTGTCAGCACAGCTGCACCAACAGGAAGAAAACAAGAATCAATGCTGAGCTGAAGATTTGTGAAACAGGTTGAGCGACTGATGGATTTGTTGCATGATTGGTTCCCCTGTGTGATTGCCTTGCCTGTTGGAATTGGTTCGACTGTGTTTTGGTTCGATGTTGCAAGCTCCAAAACAATGAGTGGTTTTGAGTTTGATGAATGCTTTTTTAAACCTCATCATATTGTTTTTGGAAAGATCGTAAATTTCAAAAGATGTTGATTGTAATCTGGTTAAGGGATGAATAACTTTTATTTTGAATAACTCTTGCATGACCCAGAGGGGCGATGCCCAGGTGCCATTACTGAGTTTTTGGAGAGAATACTTCTCCAGTCTGTTGAATGGTGGTGAAAGCGCAACAACCGGAACGATCGAGCCTCAATTGGTGGTGATGGAAAAGACATTCAATTTTTCATCTACGAGGCGGTTTGCACAGCGATTGCTCACTCAAAGAGCAACCAAACGACTGAATCCGATGCTTTGCCAGCAGATTTATTCACACTTGGAGGCGAAGAACTAGCAAAGTGTATGTAACAGCTTCTTTGCAGTATATGGTAGGACGAAAGCATGCCCGACGACTGGAATTACAGTTTCCCTGCGGGTTAGGAGAGATTTTACCCGTGGTTAGGCAACTAAAATCGAATAGTTCCCGCGACAGTCGGGTCTTCATACCGGCGCGACCCAGATTTTTATCCCGACAAAAAATGCCACTCTTGCGATTTTCCCCGTAAGCCACTTTGATGAATATTTTACGGTTAAAATAATAACAAGAACATTGGAACCCCAGTTTTCAAAAATTACCGTTGGATAAGCCTCATCAGTATCGCATATCAGGTTTTACCGAACGTATTTTGTGAAAGACTAATGTCCGCCGCCAAAGAACAACAACATCCGCGGCGTGACCTCTGATTTTTCTTTTTTTTTTGTATAAGGAAGCGAAGTGTAAGCCTTGAAATCCAATCTAAAATCGATCTTTGTTACAGGCCATATCTTGGGCTGAGAAGGCAATTAAAAAGTAAAGTCTGCCCTTGACGAACGAGACTCAGCCGCACAAGTCAATCATCATAAGCGTCCTCCTATATGTTGTGGATGCATGGACGATGACAAAATCTGCTGAGTCGGCGTTGAGACTTAACAAGAGAAATGTTTTGCTTATGATTTATGCTCCTCTGCGTGTTGGGAACGGCGAATACCACAGCCGATGGAGCGATGAGCTGTATGATATATACGGTGACATTGATAGCCAATCAAGACACGTTGACTAAGATATACAAGCTGGCTTTAATGAGAACAGTCCAACCAGTTTGTGTTTTCAACTCCTTTGAAACGATCAGGTGGAGAAGCACCTGGTTAGACTTGGTATTTCTAATTGACGTCAAACAGCGAAAATAATGCAGTAAATATCACTTACGCTGGTTCGTATAAGGCTATAAATGAGACTCCACCCTAATAGAGATGGGCATGCATGGTGGAAGGAAACAAAATTGGTTAACAAATTGTATGAACTGTTCAGTAATGTATTCATGGGCTACGAAATGGAGAAAAGGAAGGCCATTCAATGACTTAAGTGTAACCGATTGGAGTCAAGTCCTCGACTTCCTCAATAAAAGAATAAACCAACCAAACATTGTATTCGGACAACAAGAAAACTAGAGAAAAAGACCAGAAGATGATGTCAAAAGCTTACGGAAGATCTCCTGCTTCTCCTATACATTAATGCACTCGATTTTACTTATTAAATGGAAATGTTAGTTTCTAATTAGACTCCATATGTCGTAAGCCATACCCTATGCAGCGAGCCTCGAAGTAACCTGAAAGCTAAATATGAAAAGCCAAGTACTCGTACAAACTTAGTTCCTTTTTCTTTGAATTAGAAGAACAAGTAAACCAAGTCTGTCAGAGCGGGTAGACTGTACTGAATTATTTCTACATTCACGCCTAAAATGGGGATTGAAAAGCTCGGGAGGTAAGGAGTCTCTAATTTTTTTCCCACTACGGAGTTTTGAGGACTCTCCGAAAGCAAGAACCCAGCTTTTCGGGAATTGTAAAATTCTGCATTTTGACTGGTGAAAAGTAAGGAAAATTAATGATTTCGCTTAACATGAAATTT